CAACATGGCACAAGTATACATATGTAACAAACCTGCACGTTATGCACATGTACCCTAGAACTTAAAGTATAACAATAATAATAATAATAATAAAAGAAATCTCTAGGGTGGACCTAGGGCATCCTTATATTTTACCTGCTCTCCAGATGATTCTAGTAATTGGCATCCACATGTGAGAACCATTGATTTAGGGAACCCTGAGGTTGCCACAGTCAGTCAGGAGTCAGGAATCCCTTTCTGTGGCTGTTGCTTCTATCCGATAGAATCCTTTTATGAGCAAACTGTTCAGGAGCCTCAGTCACTGTCAGGGTTACTATCACATCCCCTCATGTTTAAATTGAAGAATGGACTGAAGGAACCAGGGCAGTGGTGGAAGCAGTGGCTCTGGAGTGATAAAAATAGAGTTCAATTCTCAGCTCTGTCACCCACTGCTGCTTGACTTGGGCAAGTTATATTAGCCTCTTAGTGTCTCAGTTTTCTAATCTGGCAATTGGGATAATCATTGTGTCTTCACCTTGGAATCACTATGAGAAAACAAGGGTTCAATTCAATGTCTTGCACTTGGTAAGAACTCAATTAGTAGTAGCTCCAGACTGCCCACCCCAGTAAATATTTAAATCCTGAAGAGCAGAAGTTGCCTGGGATAGCAATGTGCATTGTTCACCAACTTCTTAGAAATGGGATGGACTATGCACCTGAAAGGTGTTACCCATACCCACTAAAGTGTAAGGCATTTCTGAGATGGAGAGACCTAGATTATATGTCAATATTCCCTGAGGATCAACTAGCGTAGATGGAGATGGTAAAAGTGTTAAAGTGTCAGTGGGACCAAATGAGCATCCAGGTTCTTCTCCCCAGGAAATAGCCCTCACCGCACATGTGCCCCTCACCCAGCCACCCTACCTTACATGGCAATGTAGAACTTGTTCTAGGTCAGAGAAAGCAGCTGAGGGTCTCTAGTCCTTAGAAACCTGGGTCCCAGGTAGAGAGAACCAGAAGATGAGTAGATAGATAGACAGATAGATAGATAGATAGATAGATAGATAGATAGATAGATACATAGATAGATAATAGGTAGATAGATAGATAATAGATAGATAGATAGATAATAGGTAGATATATGATTAATGATAGATAATAGATAAGTGGACAGGTAGATGGATGGAAGGATGGATGGATGATAGACAGACAGATAATACGTAGGTAGGTAGATAGATGGATAAGTGAATAGGTGGGTGGGTGGATGGATTGATAGATAAGTGAATAGGTGGATGGAAGATAGACGATAGGATAACAGGTAGATAGATTCAATAGATAATAGGTAGATAGATAAGTGAATAGGTAGATGGATGGATGATGGATGGATGGATGGACAGACAGATAATACATATCTAGGCAGACAGATAGATGGATAAGTGAATAGGTAGATACATGAATGGATGGATAGATAGAGTGGATAGGCAGATGGATGGCTGAATGAATGGGTAGACAGAGATAGATAGATAGACATAGATAGACATACATAGATAGATAGATAGATAGATAGATAGATAGATAGATAGATAGATAGATAGATACACATATTTATAGACAGAGAGAGAATGAAAATGAGATAGAGGTAGATAAAAGCAGAAAGACAGAACGAAAAATAAGAGCTAGAAAAAGGAATTAGGAAAGAAAACTGGAGATAAAGAGATCTACAAGAAGCAGCAAAGGACAGGAAAGAAGAGAAAGAAAAAAGATCCATCAGGAGGTCCTTACCGACTGCCTTTAAGGAGGCGTACTTGTTGAGCTCTTTCCCTAGTGGCTGCTGTTCGTAGGGGTTGGAGATCTGGCCCAGGTTTGGGTATGAATGTGGATGGCCCATCTGCTGGAGGAGAGGAGAGGTGGGCACTGCGTTGTTCATCTGGGTGGCATCTGGAAGTTAAGACACAGAAGGAGATTGTCACAGACAGGGCAGAACCATCTACTTTCCCTCCTATCACCACATCCCTGGAGACCAAAACTCTCCCCACCCTTTAGGGACTCAAGTCGCAAAACAGCAGAGGGTTCACAGATACATGGGACACAACTGAGTTTATAATCTTTACTGGAGAGCAAATGAGGACAGGTGGCTGTTCTTCTGACATCACCTCAAAGGATGTGCTCAAAAACATGTTAAACTAACATGTTAAGGTCCTATCAGTAGAGAGGTTATTTTTGTCATTGAAACGATATTTGTACAAAAAGATGCCCAACCTCAGTAACAGTCAAAGAAATGCAAGTCAGAAGAACAATGAGAAGCCATTCCTTTGCCAAGAGATTGGCAGACGTTAAAGGGACTGAAGGACTTAAGTACCAGCAGAGATACCGAGTACAGGGAGGCCTCCTAAAGCTGCTGGTGGACATGCAATTTGCTATATTTGCAGGAAGAAATCAGCCACTGAGTATTGAAATGTAAAGCACATGTACATGCTGACTGAACAATACCACTTCTAGCAACTGAGCCTACAGAAATATAAGCATCAGAATGTAAGGGTATTTGTTCAGAGATGTTTTTGCACCATTGTTTGTAAAATGAAAACACTCACACAGAAACAATCTGAACTCCTATCAATGTGGGAACTCTTAAATGAATTACTATAATACATATGATATACATAATATGTACACATATGATGGAATATCATTCAGGTGTCAGAAATAAATGAATGAAAAATTGAACAGTTTCTTATGGTTTATATTGTTAAAGGGAAAAAAGCAAACTTTAAAGGAAAGCAAATAGTATAGTATTTTCTGTTAAGTAAAAGAAAAATCTATGTGTATATTTTTGCATACTATGGGTTTGCATAAGACAGAAACATACGTAAAGACAAACAAACTAAATACTGGCTACTTGAGTGGAAATGAGATTCAGGGAAAGAGAGATTCAAGGTTTTTCTGAGCTGAGATCTGCAGGAAGGAGGGTTGTTATGATAGTTCAGTGTGGTGGAAGGTGGAAGGTATGAGGGAGGGTATTTCAGGCAGAGGAAGCAGCATGAGCAAAAGCTGTGGAGTTGGATGGAACCCGGTGTGCTCAGCAACGGAAGGAATTGCTCTCTGAGCTCTGGCCATGCACAGCTAGAGAATACAGTGTGAGGAAAGTGGAATGAGGTGGGACTGGAGAGGGTGGCAGGACCCAGTGAACATTGGTAAAGGTTCCTGTCTTTATCCTGAGAGCAATGGGATGGACAGACAGGAGGCGAGAACCAAATGGGAATGGAATCTCTCCTGTCTATCCATCCCATCACTGTGAGATAATGATGGCTCACTTTCAGGTGGAAAGTACAGGTTCCCTCTGGCTTCATGAAGCACATGTGTCCATCCAGGTATGCACTGCAGTGGATGCTGGTGGTGTCTTGAAAGATCCCCTTTATCCAGCAAGTACCCCCATTTCCCAGCTGCTGCAAATGTTGGCTGCTAACAGCTCACAGCCGCCTTCAGTACCCAGAGAATTGCTCTTGGCTAATGGAAGCCACTGCCCTGGGGTCAATATGCTTCACCCATCTCGTCCTCAGGTGGTCAACAACCAACGTCCCACTGATGCTGATGTCCAAAGATCAGCCCCTTGTCTCAACATGGGTATAACTTTATGAAATGATGATACTCCAGAGTTCATGGACTGGGACAAGTTTAGAGTAAGGGGTCAGCAATCTTTTTCTGTAAAGGGCCAGAGAGTAAGTATTTTAGACTTTGTAGGCCATCAGTCTCTGTTTTAACTACTCCACTCTGCCTTTGTAGCATGAATGCAGCCCTAGAGGGGAGACAGTTGACCCTCTGTATCCACAGGTTCTACACCCTTGGATTCAGCCAACTGTGAATTGAAAATACCCAGAAAAAAAATTAAAAATAACAATACGATACAATAATATACAAATAAATAAAAAACAATACAAGTAAAAATACAGTATAACAACTATTTGCATAACATTTGCGTTGTACTAGTATTATAAGTAATCTAGAGATGATTTAAAGTATACGAAAGGATATGAGTAGGTTATATGAAAATACTATGTCATTTTTTATAACGGACTTGAGCATCTGTTGTTATTGTATCCATGGAGGGTCCTGAAACCAGATCCCCATGGATACCATGGGACAACCATATAAATGGGCATGGCTGTGTTCCAATAAAACTTTATTTACAAAAACAGGTGGTACAAAATTTGAACCAAGGGCTATAGTTTGACAACCCCTGAATCTGGACCTTACCTGAAACCCCATTTTTGTGTGGCTCTCTAACCTTTCGAAGGTGCTTCCCTCATAATCTTAGAGGTGTGTATTTATTTGTTACCTGAAGAGCACTCCCCCAGAGTCACATGCATCTGAGTCCCTTTCCCAGGCTTTGCTTTTAGATAACTCAACCCCTGATGTATATGAAAAATGTTTGGCTTTAGAAACCAATAAACCCAAACGGAAAGAGGCAGGGATACCCGAGCTGAGGCATGAGGGTAAGGAGAGTATTTTTATCACTTGACCTGCATGGGCCATCACACAAGCCCAAGTGTTAAATGGGAATGTCGCCAAACATAAGTGCCAAGTAATCCAGTCTCTGGCCAACGTCTGGAAAGACGCATGTATCCTTCTACCATGATAGCTTTTTGGCTGAGATTCAGCTGCCATGGGAGAGTCCCAGGATTAATAAAGTAACAGTAGAAAAGGTGTTGATAAGGTATGGCTTTCACTATACCTTGGAACCCAAGATCCTCTGACATTCTCCTCTCCAAAGCCAACCCACCAGGGTTCCTGTCTGCTTCCCCTGGGCATGTCAGGCCAGCCATGTTTTGTTTCCAAGTATTGGTGGGAAATGGCTTACTCTTAAGTTCTCACTGTATGCTGCCGTGTGTGCGTGTGTGTGTGTGTGTGTGTGTGTGTGTGTGTGTGTTCCATGACATATTTTTTGGTGGATAGCTACTGCTTTTGTGCACAGTCTTATCTTAGTGACTTCTGGGGAAACACAAACTAAGACAGTTACCATGATTGGCAGCTCATCACACAACTCAAGTGGCGATAAAGCAGCATACCAAAGGACTCAAATGCAAGCATATTTGGCAGGTGATCTCAGGAAATACTTGTAGCAAAAGGATGGGGGAGTTAGGGAACAAGAAGCAAATAGAGTGCAATGCCAAGCAAGATGCAATGTGGTCGACTGGAGTTTAATCCCACTCTGGAATTCTGGCAAATGGTATTGAATGCATACCTCAAAATTATGTCACCCCAAGGGCAAAGGAGCCCTTAGTATTTACACACAAACTCCTATTAGTCATTGGTTGAGGGCTGCTGCCGGGAGACATTAATTCGTTAGCACTCGCAACTTCCCATGTTCACAGGCAAAGCAAGCTCCAGTGGCCAGAGATACCCTCGCTCAGGGATGTAAGAGCTGGCAGTTGAAAAGCAGGTGAGTATGTGCCCGAATAGCAAGGGCTCACTGTGCTTTATAGTAATTCAGACCCCTGGCCATGGAAGTGAGCATGGGCCTGAATCAGACCAATCCCAGTACCTCCTTCTAATAATGATTGGACCAGAGGAGAGCATGTGATCTATATTGGGCCAATCAGAGTTCTTCCATCAACTTTTCTACTTGGAAACACTGGAGTCAAACAACGAAAAGGCCATGAAGTCAATGTGAAGCTACCATGTGGAGAAAATCTTTCTTCGTTATGAAAGAGTAAGAATCACACCCACAGGAAAGAAGCTGAGGAGAGAGAGAAGCCCCTTTCTAAAGAGTGTGTTTTGTGGTTCCTGCCACTTGCAATGTAGAGTTCTGATTAAGGCAATTGTTGTTTGGATTTCCTCGGGGAAGCTGAAACTGGGGAAGGCTGTCCATGCAGCAAACCCAGGTATTGCCTTAAAATGGAAAAGGTATTGCCCCTCAGTTTTCTACAGAGCTACAGCAGAAATTTCAAACAACAAATTGGCTGAGTCGTGCATAGAGCGTGCCCAAGGATGCTAGTAAGCTAACTAATGTCTCAATGGCAGGCACCCCTACCCCTGGAAATGCATCCCAAACACTAGACTGTCTAATCAAAGAGTTGAACCTTCAAAGCCTGTTATCCTCCACTATAAGTCCTTTCGGTCATCTGTTTGATCCGTCGGTCCCAGACTCAACCTACTAGGCTCAAACCCTGTTTCCAGATCTGCCAGAGAAAATGCTAAACACTTTGTTAAAGAAAAAAAAATAATTCTACAGAGGTGTTCCTCACGGAATATCTTGGGACACACTTTTATATTATTAAACAGAATACATGATATTCCCTTATAAAGTATTTGCTTTTGGATTATTTCTCCCAAGTCCTGAGACACCTCAGGGGCAGTGAGTAGTTTTAATGTAAGTAGGCACAACCATAAAACCCCACCAAAGTGATCCCCTTCAAAAGAAGAAATGAGGCCATCCCGAAGTTGCACTTCCAGTTTCACATTAAGAGCCACATAAAGCAAATTTCTGGCAGTTTTAGATAGCCCTTTTTTTTTTTTTTTTTTTTTTGCTAGTTTCCAGGCACTGAATATTCAGAAATATTAAAATCCAGTTTCAGGGCAGCAATCAAAATTTATTAAACAGACATTTGTGACTAGGTTTTCTAAATGTCATTTTCATTTCACTGGACAGGAAGATAGAGACCAGACCTGGCAACTCAGTTGCTTTGTGAGTTTTCCACAAATATATTCAGCCAGGGAGGAGAAACAAACAAACAAAAAAAGCAGATTGGAGATAAGCCCAGGTTGGAATCCAAGAAAACTAGAACAATAGGATGAGTGAAAAAATGCAGCATGAATGAGATCTAGGTTATAATCTGCAAATCCTTCCCTTACCAAGCTGACCGAAGAAATATGCATGTGTGTACGTGTGTGTGTACATATGTATGTATGCATGTGTACATATACATACAAGTATATATGTA